CCCAGATCCTGTCCATAGTGGTGAGGTGGCAGCGAGGGAGCTGGGTAGACCAAGGACCTTGTGCATTTTAGACACTCAATAAATATTTGTTAAATGAAGCAAGTTTGATGAGGGTGGGTGCTGGGAGGGGGCAGATGGAGGCTTGGGTTTTTAAGGCTCTAAGGTTGAGGTCTGTTCTGCACCTTTTGGGGGATAGGGGGAGGAGTGCGGGCACAGCTCCCCCAGCGTGGGTGTCTGAGGCAAAGGAGAGGATGGTGGAGGTTGCAGCCACTGAACCACAAGGGTCCCTTAGAGGGGTCATGGTCTCTAGGAAGTTTATGTGAAGCCAATAAGCAGTAGAGAGGGTGTGTGTTGTGGGGGGCACATCCCTTGACTGGGCTTGAAAGGGCTGACTGGGGGCCATGGGGAGAAGATAAAAGCGCCTGTGGGACCACAGAATGTCGCTGTGGTGGGGCTGTGCCCTCTTCCTTTCCCCAGCCTCACTCCTCATCCCATCTCAGGGGGCCAGGGTGAGGGCAGCAAGAACCTCAGGGGCTCTGAGTATGCGGGTGTGTGTTGCCATTTTGGTCTCATCGCTCTCTTGGTCTCTGTCTCTCTTTTGGTCTACTGCACTGTGCATGTAGCTTACATCTCAGGATTGTCTCATCTCTTTTCCTCTTCCTCTACCTTGTTTGTACTCCCTTGGGCTTTGTGTGTGATCGTGGATTGTGTGGAGTGTAGCTGTTGCTTTAATGAGCTGCTCTGGGTCTCTCCCTACCTTCTGCATTCCCTCCCATTATCCACCCTTGGGGCCTCTGTTTGTTTCTCAGAATCTGTCCTTTTCCCTTTGTCCACCCTGCAGCCATCCCCCTTGTATCCATCCTTTAGCTCCAGACCATGCTCCACAGGCTCCCTTTAGATCAAAGCTTGTTGAAAGCCTGCATTCCTGCCAGAGGCCTGGATGCTTATTTACAGGCAAGAAAAGGAACTAAAGCTTGGTGGCAGCTGGAGAAGGGAGAAATGAAAAAGGAAAAGAGGCAAGGGGCTTCCAGAAGAGCCAGACTTGCCTCCTGGTGTATGAGGCACAGAGGAAGAGAGACAAATGCAGGGAGTTGAAGACAGAGGCATCAACTTGGGGAGGCATAGATGCAGAAATGCACAGATGTGAGCAGAGAAACAAGGGAGGGAGGGAGGGAGAGAGAGAGACAGAGAGAGAGAGAGAGACAGAGAGAGAGAGAGAGAGAGAGAGAGAAACAGAGAGACAGAGAGAGAGAGAGAGAGAGAGAGAGAGAGAGTGGTACCAGGACCCCTCAGGGACCAGCAAGCCCTCCCAACTCTCTCAGGGCTGTGGTGTACAGCATGCTACTGTACGGGGGCAGAGCGTCTCTGGGGGAGGCTGAGGATGTGGGAATCAAAAGCCAGCTCTCTAGGGTGGCGGCGGAAACCCAAGGCACCAAAGCAAGCAGCAGCTGGAAACCCACAGCCTCCTTCACCAAGCCGAGCCCTTGGGGTGGGTTGAGGCAGTCAGGGAGCTGGAGGCAGGAGGTGGCCCTCTGCACAGACCCCAGGATCATGGAGTGGGGAAGAAAAAATGACCTCCATTTGGGGAAGGTCAAGAATGTCCGAGCCTTCCTCAAACATCTAAGCTGAATTTGGACCCCAGGGAAGAGGTATCCCATAGGAAGCTCCTTTACTCTCTGCTCACCAAGGACACAGTGAGCCTGGGATGAGGGGACAGTGGGAATCACCCTCAGATAATAGGGGTGCCCCTACTCCACTCTCTCACCCCAGCCTTTCACTCAACACCTCCATGCCCCAAGTTAACTTGTAAACAACTGCACCCGTGACCAGCCTCCCTCCTTTCCTGGAAACCTTCTTCCTGACATCTTTTCTTCCTATTTATCTGGTTAAACAATTCTATCAAGCCTGTACCATGTACTAGGCCCTGGGTAATTACCCTTTTGTAATTACCCTTTCATATGCTAGGCCCCGGGTAATTACCCTTTTGTAATTGCCCTTTTGAACAGATGGAGTGCCTCTTCTTCAAATTTTTTTCTTTTTCCTTTTTTTAAAGATTTTTATTGGGGAATTGGGGGAAGGGGAACAGACAAGTTGCTGTCCTTTTGTTCTTCAGTCTAGTTGTGGAGGATGTTGCTTCACTGGCCCAAGTTGGCACCATCATTGTGCTCTTCCCGGGCGAGGCACATCAGTCGCCGGCTTCTGGATGGCCGCTCACAGAGGCTGCTGGCCGCTCACACTGGCTGCTGGCTACACACGGTAGCCCATGGCAACCCACCGCAGCAGGGGCTGCAGCCTACACTGTTGCTGGCAACCCCAGCAGCCCAGCTCCAGGTTGAGCTGTTGTTCAGCATCTTAGCTGTAGAGGGCAGCGTCACTGGCCCTCATATGTGGGATGCGAACCGGGCCCCTCTGGCGTCTCAAGCCAGCTCTTAACCAACACGCCACTCAGCCGGCCCAATTTTTTTTCTTTTTAACTTTATTGGGGAACAGTGTGTTTTTCCAGGACCCATCAGCTCCAAGTCAAGTCGTTGTTTTCAATCTAGTTGTGTACGGCACAGCTCAACTCCAAGTCCAGTCGCAGTTTTCAATCTAATTGGGGTGGGGTGGGGGGGACACAGCTCACTATCCCATGCAGGAGTCCAACTAGCAACCTTGTTGTTAAGACCACGCCCTCTAACCAACTGAGCCATCTGGCCGCCCACTGGCAGCTCAGCAGCAACTCAGCTCAAGTCATTGTCTTCAATCTTGTTCTGGAGGGCACAGCTCACTGGCCCATGTGGGAATCGAACCGGCAACCTTATTGTTCAGAACACATGCTCTATCCAACTGAGCCACCCGGCCGCTCCATGGAGGGGACTTTTTAAACAAATTTTCCCCAAAACCACATCAGGAGGATCAAACCCCCAGCACCCATCTGAGTGCTACATCTGATCATGGAAACAATCTGCTTCAGATGGATCAAGAGACTGCAGAGAGAGGGGTTTTTCACAGACAGAGGTGTGAACAGGGAACCAACCAGCATGTTCCAGCATGCTAACACTAGCAACAGCAGGCAGGCTCCTGAAGACACAAGGGCCAAAATGGTGTTTCTGGAACTCAGTGAGAATTTGAGCTGTGGATAAGGGGCTGCCAGATAAGAGCTGTAGTCAGCGGGGGAGAGGAAGTGGGGAGGGAGGGAATACAGCCATTTGCAGAAAATATTTCCAGAGCAGGAAGAGGGTAAGGAAAAATGCCCCAGCCCCTCTCCCTGACCCTCTGATCTCTGGTGGATGCTTCCCATTGGTCAACCCCAACTCGTAGTTGGAAGGCAAGGGAGCCTGAGCTATGCCGTCTATAAGGGTCATCCTCCGCATAGAAGGCAGGCTGGAGAGGCTGGCCCATAGCAGGGGTAGGGGTGTGGGTCGAGGTAGGAGTATGCACAAGAATAGGCAGCATGATTGGGATGACTTGGCTTGATCCAGGCCAGTGCTGGCAGTGCACACACTCTTAAATGACCCATTTTAGTAACAGAATTAATATGCTGAGTACAGAAAGAAGAAATCAGTGATTTTTCTCTCCTCCACTCAATTCAATTTGGTTTAAGTTTAGCAAATACCTACTGAGTCCCTTCTCTATGCTGCAGAGGGTGCCAGGCCTGCGGTAGCGGCAGATCTGGCTGTACCATCATCTCTGTCCTAGAGGAGATCAAGCTGGTAAGGGAGCGATGAGAACCCAAGTCATTGCTCCATAGGTAGAAGGTGGGACATGCCCAAGAGGGTGTCAATAGGGTGCTGTGGGAGTTTAGAGTGGGCAGATGGGTGCAGAACTCAAACAGCAAAAGTGGCTTCTAGGGAAAAGAAAGATCAGGCTTGGGGGAGAGGAAAATAAGTCTGGATGCAGGCTATCACTTTGCCAAGCTCTGGATTAGGTCCGTGCTGACACTCTTCCCAAGGCATTCACCTCTCTGAAGTCCACTTATAGCCTGGGCCTAGAGTTCCAAGACACTCGTAAGCCCTGCTCCTGCCTTTCTTTGAGGCACTATCTCGAGGCCTTCCTCTGTTTTCTACTTCTTCCATGTTGTCTAGTTCCTAGTTGCCATGTCAAGCTTCCTAACGGCTCTGCACAGGCCATCACATCTCTGCTCAAAAATCAGCTGTGGCTCCCAGTCACCTGCAGAACAAAGCTCCCTAGCTCCCTAACCTGTCTATTACAATCAATCCTCAAAGGCCTTTCCCACATCATCCCCTACCACTTCCCCCCATGAGCCCACTTGACTCTCAATCCTCTTTTCACAACCTACCCCCTACCCCTGTACCTCTGAACACCAAAACGGCAGGATGCCCCTCCCCTTTCCTTTCCTTCTAACCCAGGCTTTCAAACTTGAACATGCATCAGTCACCTGGAGGTTTGTGAAAACACAGACTGCTAGACCCACCCCCGGTTTCTGATTCAGCAGGTCTTGGGTAGAGCCTGAGAATTTGCGTTTCTAACAAGTTCCCAGGTGATGCTGCTGCTACTGGAACCACACTTTGAGAATCACCGCTCTAACCTAATGCTGCCGTTCCTCAAAGCCTATTCAGAATTCTTCTGCAGCCCCCTCCCCGCAGTCAGCGACAGCCTTCTAAGCTCACAGAAACCACTCCGGCTCTTCCATCTAAACGCTGAAACAGCATCTTATGCCTGTCACATTCAGAGGACTTACAGGATTGGTCTGCTAGAGGGCAGGGCATTACCCTCTGCCCTTTCTCTCCCTCGCCCCACACACTCCATCAGGCCCCAAGCCTTGGGAATTTCACCTCAGAACTGTCCCTGAAGTCAATCTCTTTTCCCACCTCTTACCACCACTGCCTGAGTTCAGGCCTCATCTTCTCTGTCAGGATTGTTATAATCCTGCCTCCTGTGCTTGGCCTCCTCCCACTCATCTTTCACACAGAAGCTCAAGAGAGCCATTTTGCAAATCTAATCTTGTCCATCTCTACATAAAGTCCTTTGCTGGCTCTCCAGGGCCCAGGGTCAGGTCCTAGCATCCTTTCATGGCATTCAAACACCTTCATGACCTGGCTTGGCCTTCTGGTCTAAGTCCTCACCAATTTGCCACCTTCTCTGTTAATCTTTTTCTAATGCCAGCTGGCAGAGACTCCACCCCTGGCCTGGGCACAGCATTATGTGGCACATCCTGGTGGGTGTCTGCTTTGTGGTTTGCATGTCCAGGTAGGCCTCTGGCTTGGCTGTAGGGTCTTAAAGGGAGAGATTGCATATCATCCCCCTATGCCCCAGGCCCAATAAATGCCTGCTGCCTAACAATTAGTGTCTCCCTCAGGCCCTGCCCTTTCCTCAGGGGAAGGCCCAGGTCCCTGCCTGCCTCAGCAAGGCCACAATGAACTGGGGAACCTCTTTTAGGAACCTGCTACTGCTGCTGCAACTGGGTGAGTGCTCAGAATTGGGGTCTGGATGCAGACAGCCTGGGAGGAGGGGCTGATTGGGAAATGCAAAAGTGGGGGATGGGGCGGAGGTGGGGCAGCGACTGGCTTGAGGCCTCACCTCCTTTTCCACATAGCCCTGCTCCCAGCGGTCATTCAGGGAGAAGAGCTGGTGCTGGGTCAGGCAGGAGACACAGCAGAGCTGCCCTGCAATGCTGCCCAGAAGAAAAACATCCCCTTCTACTGGAAACATCCTTCTGGGGTCAAGATTCTGGGAACTCAGGGCACCTATTCACCAACATTCTGGGTGACAGGTAAGGTGGCCTGGCTCCCCATCCTGGGAGAAAAGCATTATGGATTCAACATCCCAGATATCAGAGCTCCTGGTACCCATTATGTAATTCACACCCTTGGGCAGAGCTCAGGACCACAACGCCACAAACTGCAAGTGATTTTCCTGTCCTAGAATTTTATTCTGCTAAGTCGATGGAAATAAGCTGACTTTCATCTGGGACTTTATTTATTTTTATTAATTTTAAAGTTAAAATAACTTGAAAAAGTCATATATGTACATGGTATGTAATTTTAAACTATGTGAATGATATACAGTGACAATAAATCTCCCTTCTACTCCCCAGTTCCTTAATTCCCTTCCCCAGAGGCAACTGTTTTAACCAGTTTAACCAAGAGAGGAGCTATGCACGTCCATAGAAGCCCATATGTATATAATCCCCTCTTCTGTCTTCTCTTAAATTATCAATACATCTTCTCTGTCTCTCTTAAAATTTGTAGGTAATGTTCTAGATACTGGAAATATAATATAGTGAAAAACAAAAGACCCATTAAAACAACAGGCCTGTTTCTAACATCGTGGTTTCTTTTTTAATTAGACAGATATTTTGAAGATTGTTCTATACTCTATATTCATATATATGTTGATACACACACACACACACACACACACACACACACACACACACACAGGGTGCCAAACAATTTTCCTTTAAGAAAGGAAAAAAATCTGTATTAAAATTACACTGATGATAATAACCACTTTGAGCACCTCTTGTAATTGCAGAAGTCAAACATGATTTGTATTCATCTTTTGTTATTGGTATACATTGAGAATTACAATTTTAATACAGTTTTCCTTTCTTAAAATGTGTATACATTTTTTTGGCTACATATATGTATGTATATATTTCTCCCTCATTTCTTTTCAGTGACTGTATAGTTTTTTTATATAATCATGCCACAATTTACTTGACTAATCCCGTATTCTTGGACATTTAGGCTGTTTTCAGTTTATTGCTGCCAACAATTCTGCAGTGAATGAAACCTTGTATCTTTGGACACATGTGCAAATGTCTTTGTAGGATAAATTCCTAGAAGTGAAATTAGTAGGCCAGGTCAGCTTGATCTTTCCATATCTTTTTGTTATACAAATTTTGCTGAAATGGCATCTGCTCAATAAGATTTGACTGTATTAATTTGTACCTTCCAATATGTTACTTCCTTTATACAAATTGGATTGATGTTACTGTTTTTTTCAGATTTTAGAAGTATTACATGCTCATTATAAAATATTTAGCAAATACAGAAAAGAAAAAGGAAGAAAATCAAATGCACACATGCTTCCACCACTCAGAGATATGCTCTGTCAATATTTGATTTATTTCCTTCCAATCTTTGTTTAGTGTGGAAAATATAATATGTATTATTTAAATACATGATATCATACTGTATATACCTTTATCCTACTCCCTTATAAAATTATATCATGATGGGATGATCAGTTATTAGGCGAATTTTTTAAAGTAATTTGGCAATATTTAATAAATACATAATTTTAAAACCCTTTTATCTAGTAATAGCCATTCTGGAAAATCCATTTGACAGAAATAAAATTGTGAATATTTGGTGATATCTATGCAAGGATGTTGTTATAAGCATTGTTTATAACATGAGAGGCTAGAATTCAACCTGAATACTGATCAGTGAGGAAAGAGCCGAACTACCGGCACAACTATGGGAACTTACGTAAGTAATACAAACAATGAGCGCTTCCATGTATATATGTAAATACAATAGAATATTGTTATAAAACGATTCATTTCTTCAGAGCTGGATAAATGTCATAAATCACATCCTTCCCCCTAAAACATAACTGCAGGCTTAAAAGACATTTGGAGGCATATTTGTTTATGAGTCCTTCGTTAATTCTGACCCCTGTGACCAGAATTAATCTAAGTATGCTTATTTACATCTTTTAAAGGGTGAAATACTTCAGCACAGTGTGTGCATACAAATTCCATTGTGTTTGTACAATAAAATGATCTGATTTAAAGAAAGAGAATGAAGATTTTTAGGAAAACAAAGTAGATGTATGTATTAGTCAGCTTGGGCTGCTATCACAAAATACTATAGATTGGGTGGCTCAGAAAACAGAAGTTTATTTTCTCACAGTTTTGGAGGCTGGAAGTCTGAGATCAGAGTGCCAGCATGGTTGGGTTCTGGAAAGGACTCTCTTCTTGGCCTGCAGGTGGCACCATCTTGCTCTGTCCTCACATGATGGAAAAGGGAGAAAACAAACTTTCTGGCGTTTCTTCTCATAAGGACACTAACCTCATCATGAGGGCCACATCCTCATGGCTTCATCTAAATCTAATTTCCTCCCAAAGGCTCCATCTCCCAAAACCATCACAATGAGTGTTAGGGCTTCTATGTATGAATTTTGGAGGTACATAATTCAGTCCATAGTAACATACTTTTTGCTTTTCCTCTCATTAATTACAACTGAAAACCCTGGACATTACATATAGAGCTAACATGAGAAGATTTTGAAAAGTGTAGAAAAGAGGGTAGACTGGTAGGGACCTCAGGACCTAAGGAACACCATGGTAGTGAGTTTTGTTGTTGCCTCAGATATCCCAATCTTGGAGCTGATTAAGATGACAATCTGGAAACGCCAATGGGCACAGATAAAAATAAGCCTCAACAAAAGCCTGTTTTCTCTAGCCAAAGGATCAGGAAAGGAGCAACTGAGCAAGACAAAGCACTTTTAGATAATAGCTGCTCTACTCCAGTCAAACACAAGAGAAAAAAAACCGAGGCCCCACCCCCATTCATGCCAGCATTACCCTCCTAAGGCTGTAATGAGGCCCCCCAACACCCCCACTGGGATGGTGTCAGGGAATGCAAAGTAGGAAGCCAGGATGGTCACCCTCACCAGCCAGGGACTCCTCAACCCCTGCAATGTCAGTGGAGATCACATGAAGAGCCTGGCCATCCAGCCCCTCCCAGCAGTCATGAGACACCCCTCCTTGCTGGAGCCTGTCAGAGAAGGCCTAGTGGAGGCGACAGGACTTTCACCATCACCCAGCAATAACAAGGCCACCTCCACAGCAGGGTCCATGGAGACCAGTAGCTGGAACTTTCACTCCTGCCCAGCAGTAATGAGGAACATCATCCTCTAGTGGCAATGGAGAATAAGGAGGGAACCTAGATTTCTACCTACACTGGTAGTAATAAGTTCCCTTGACAGAGTGGTGTCAAAGAAAACCAGTTAAAATAAAAAGTTTAAATAAGATCCAGAATCTCACAACACTCAAATGTCCAGGTTCCAATATAGTTGGTAGTTGAAAAATATATCATTATTTTAATTTGCATTTCTTTGATCACCTGTGAGAGTGAAACAATGTGCTCCTTTCTAAAAATGCTTGTCTTTTGTGTCAGTGCTTTTGTTCTATTTCTATAACTTGAGTTTCTAGAACAGCTCCCCTACCCAGCTTCCTGATCTCTGACAAAGGTGTATCACTCTCCTGATTCCCCCAATTTCTGAACCACAGAGTCAAACTTTTTTCTCTACTTCAATCCCTGGTTTCCTATTTATCACCAACTATGGCCATTCCTTCTTTGAAAGTGTTTTTCTGTTTTATCTTTGTTCCCATGGGAATGCCACCATCACTTGCCAAGGCCACATACCTCTCACCTGGATTACAGTGGAACCTTCCTGGCAATTCTCTCTGCTACTAGTCTCTCCTACTTTGATTTCTCTTCCACCTGCGGCAGCACTAACTTCTAAAGCAGCGGTTCTCAACGTGTGGGTTGCGACCCCTTTGGGGGTCTAACGACCCTTTCACAGGGGTGGCCTAAGACCATCGGAAAACACATATTTTCGATGGTCTTAGGAACCGAGACACCGCTCCTCTATCCGTCTCCATGCTTCAAGACAAAATTTCATTTATTTGTAATTAGAAATAAATATTTCACAATATATAATTACATATTGTTTTTGTGAGTAATCACTATGCTTTACTTATGTTCAATTTGTAACAATGAAAATACATCCTGCATATCAGATATTTACATTACGATTCATAACAGTAGCAAAATTACAGTTATAGAGTAGCAACGAAAATAATTTTTATGGTTGGGGGTCACCACAATATGAGGAACTGTATTAACCTCCCTGGCAGTCTGATTATGTCAGTAATTTTGTACCCAAAGCGGTACATTATTTTGCATGGAAATTTGTTGTTTTATATTGTAGGCCTGTAATTCTTAGGAATTACTCACTTAAATTTGTCCAAACAAGAGTCTGGTGGCATCCCAGGTATGATAAAGTTTGAAACACAAAATCATAAATTATAATATAATAAATAATTATAAAAAATAATAGAATTTTATTCAATAATGTAATCAAATAAAAAACACTGCAATTTATCATCGGCCGGCGTTCTCGTTGGCGATCACAGGAGGACATCACAGGGAGCAGGTAAGGGACTTCTCGGGGACACTGCAGTGTAATCCCCAGTGTGGCTCGGGGTTACCGCTTCTGGCAGTGACAATTAACCCCTAGCCACACTCGGGGTTACCTCTTCTGGCAGTGAAAAGTAACCCCGAGCCACACTCGAGATTACCACCAGGGTAGTTAAAGGGCATTAGGAAAGTTGAGACCCACTGTTCTGAAGCAATGTTTTGCACATGTTACTCCCTAGTCCACTAGACTAAGCCTAGATACTTCTGCTGGGCATTCACTCCTCAGCATCACTTGCCACAGATTCGCAGGCAGAAACCTCCACACCCAGGTGATTTCCTCACTGTTTTGAGGTGGTTGCCCACTGGAGGTTTCCCCCCTTCCTGGATCTCCTCAACTTCTCCTCTTTTCTCTAGTCCACACTATCTTTACTTCTTTTATTTTCTTTAGTTCTTTTATTTTTTATTTATTTATTTATTTTTAAAGATTTTTATTGGGGAATTGGGGGATGGAAACAGCTCTGGGGAATTGGGGGAAGGGGAACAGACAAGTTGCTGTAGTTTTGTTCTTCAGTCTAGTTGTGGAGGGCGTTGCTTCACTGGCCCAAGTTGGTACCATCATTGCGCTCTTCCCAGGCGAGGCAGATCAGTCGCCAGCTTCTGGACAGCCTCTCACGGCAGCTGCTGGCCCCTCATGCTGGCTGCTGGCTACACACGGTAGCCCATGGCAACTCACTGCCGCAGGGGCTGCAGCCTATGCCGTCGCCAGCGACTCACGGCAGCCCAGCTCCAGGTTGAGCTGTTGTTCAGCATCTTAGCTGTAGAGGGCAGTGTCACTGGCCCTCATATGTGGGATCCGAACCGGGGCCCTCTTGCATCCCAAGCCAGCTCTTAACCAACGCGCCACTCGGCCGGCCCTATCTATACTTCTTTTAAATCTTGGTTCAACACTGGTCTCCCCCATGAATTTATCCCAGACTCACCCACACTCTAAGAACTTTCACACCATCCTTCAATTGCTTTTGCAAATTATGGGACAGCCTGCACAAGTGGGCCATGATGGGGCCCAGAAGAGGAAAAGGAAAGCAAGGAGGAAGAGTCATTTCAGGGAAGGGGTGACATATTTCATTTTGAACCAACTGAGTTTTGGGTGATGGCAGGATAATCTGATAAAGTTATTCCTTGGGCCACTGGAAATGTGGGCCCAGAATTGAGAAGAGAGGTTGGGGCTAGGGATATTAATTTGGGAGTCATCTGCAGAGCTGACAAGGGATGTAGTAGAATTTGGAAAGTCTTATAGAAATGGGAAAGAGGATCCCAAACAGAGTCTGGGTTAACCCCTAAATGTAGATGTCAGAACAAGAGTCCAGTATGAAGAAAAGGGAATGGTACTTACACATAGAGGAGAGAATCAAAAGAGATGAAAAGTGGGGCAGAACTAGAGGAGGCTACTTTTTCAAGAAGTTTAGTCAATTGTGAAAAGAACGTAGTAGGATTTCAGAAAAATTGGGGAACTAAACCAGTGTGAAAGTCCAGGGGAAAAGAGCAAGTGGGGTAGGAACCACTGAAGGGACACATGAAAGGGGTATTGGGTGAGTGCTGGAGAGAAAGCTGTGGTCCTGCTTGCCCAGGGTTACAGGTTCTCTGGAAAGCTCTCCTGAAGAGGATGAGCCTGAGCAGTGGGAGAAGGGGAAAATGAGGTCTGGAAGAGGAGAGAAGGGAGACTGCATGGCCAACATGACCTCCAGTCTCCTGAACCAAAGCCAAAATAGGGAGAGGGCCTATGATTGCTCAGGGAGACAGAGGTGGTGCTAAGGGAGTTGAAGGTAGAGGCTTTATCTCAGCCACCTCCCCATCCCTGCAAATATACATTCTAAGTAAAAAACTGTGTGTTTGCTATGTAAATTTAGCTTCTAATGCCCTCCTCTGTAGGAATTCTGGAGATCTCACTGCACCCAGAAAATGGTTAGCTAAAGAGAAGAAGTTCCTCTTGGTGATGGTTGTTAGATACTAAAAGAGGAGACTGGAGGAGACCACATGTCCATGCCTGAGGAACTTTCAAGAAACAGCACTGCGCAGTGTACTTAACAGGCCTGAATTTTAATCCCACTCCACCACTTACTGGGGTCAAAATTCAAAAGGTAGAAATAGGTATATAGTGAAAAGGTCCCCCTCCCACATCTGTCTCAAGGGTATTAACTTCCTCTCCCCCAGAAGCAACCAAAGTTACCATTTTTTATGTTTACTTTTAGAAGTATTTGTTCATATACAAGTCAGATAGATGATAGATGGATAGATAAATTCCCCCTTTTTTAAACAAACAGTAGCCTGTTTAATAACTTGTTTTATTCAGTTAATGATGTTTCTTAGATATTATTTCATTTCAATACATAAAGCGCTTTCTCACTCTTCTTTTATAGCATTACACTGAATGGTGGACTATAATTTGTTTAATCTATCCTTTCTTGGTGGACATTTAGTTTTGTATGCGCATTTGTAATTCTGGTAGATATTACAAATTATATACAAACTTTGTTCCTGCTGATGTTGTATAAGTAGGAGTTTGGGCAACTACCTAATCTCTCTGAGCCTCAGTTTCCTTATCTGCAAAATAAGCAAAACATTACCTATTTCTTGGAATTGTTGTGAATATTATTTGAGATGATGCATGTAAACTACAGAGGGTGCCAAAAAATGTATACATATTTTAACAAAGGCAAAAACTGTATTAAAATTATGCTGTGGTAACCACTTTGAGCACCTCTTGTAATTGCAGAAGTCAAACATTACTTTTATTCATCTTTTGTTATCAGTATATATTAAGTATTACAATTTTAATAGTTTTTTCCTTTTTTAAAATGTGTATACATTTTTTTGGCACCCACTGTGTTTGGCATATTGGTGTTCTCTAAATACAATGTTACTTTATTTTGGATTAATGAGATATTATACTGGGTAGGTAAATGAATTTGATGGGACTTCCTTGTCAGTCTGAGGTTCTCTGACTAGGATGAGGGCAGGAAATTAGCAACTTAGATCAAAAGAGCTGTGAGCACTGTCTTCATCAGGGATGCCGTGTTCCAGGGTACTCCAACCTCGTCCATATGGCTTCTACTCCCAGGTACCTCCAAGCTGCAAAAACGTGTTGAATCAAAAAAATTCGGGTGGGACCAAGGACAGTTTCCTCTGATCATCAAGGATCTTGACATAGGAGACTCAGGGATTTACCTCTGTGAAGTGGAGGGCAAGACAACAGAGGTGAAATTGATGGTATTCAAATGTGAGTAGGGCAAGCCTGGGGTGTGGACACCTCCAGCCTATCTCCCTTCCTCCCTTCCCCCACTCCCATCCCTGCAACCAAACCCAGGGTCTGCACTTCAACAGTCCAGAGATAGACGAGACTGGCTACATCTCTTCAAACCCTCCTCGGGCCTTGGAAGGAAGAAGAGGGAGAGGAAGAGACCTAGAGAGGGGGCAGGAGAAGGGCAGGAGCTATAGGAAGGACGGGAAGAGACAACAGGAGTGAGGAGGGGAAGAGGAGAAAGGAGGAGGAGGAGGGGAGAGGGAAGCCCTGCCTAGGTCTGGGGGTGGGCAGCTGGGTGTTGGCAGGAAGAGAGATGTTGGCACAGGGGTAATGGAGAGACACTCTTGGTTTCCTGGCTTCTTCTTGTCTCCTTGGGGATAGTGTGTGTGTGACACAGGCGGCCTGCTCCTTCCACAGTGAATTTGGACATCCGCAACATCATCCACCTCCTGCCAGGGCAAAGCCTGACTCTGATCTTGGAGAGTACCTCTGATAGTGACCCTTTAGTAGAATGGAAAGATCCAGAGAATAGAAAGCATCATGAGGGCAAGAGTTTCTCACTCCAGCCAGAGTCGCAGAAGAGTGGCACGTGGACATGCACCGTCTCTAAGAACGGGAAGAGGCTGGTATTCAACATAAACATCTTGGTGCTGGGTAAGAGGAGCTTGTCTCCCTGCAGACTTCCCCCTGCCTCAGCAGCTGACAGACCCTTCCTCTGCTCTCACTGCTTTGCTCCTGGGCCCGATACTAAGGTACAGAGGGAGGCTAGGGCCAGGCTCCCCTAAAGGTGAAGTCTGTCTTGAGGAGTACACTGGTCCCTCCCTTCCTCAGGGTGGTGGACCTGGAGGAAAGAAGGGACATGGGATGTAAGAATGGAAGGGGCCCCAGAGAGCCCTGGAGGAGGCCCCAAAGGAGGAGTGTCAAGGGCATCTATTTTCTTTGTTGCCTCAGCTCCCCATGCCCACCAAGCTGGCACATCTACTTACTCAGGGACATAGACACCGGCAAGCCAGCCCTGAGGAAATTCTATATTGCACCTTCAGAATCCTGGGCTAGGCATTGTGGGGGAAACCGAGAGCCCTGAATGCACCTGTCCTCCAGGTGCTTATGGTACACAAGTAAGGTAGTGTGGTGGGGAGCTGCACGGACGAGGGATTTAAATCCTGACTCGGACCTAACCATGTGACCTTGGGCAAGTTACTCAATCTCTCTGTGCCTTGGTTTCTGCATCTGTAAAATGTGAATGATGCTCGCTGTGAAAGTACATACCTTGTAGTGTTATGGTGAAAATTAATGCATGTAGTACACTTAGAACAGTGCCTGGCACATAGTAAGCCCTATATATTTGCTTTTATCTTGTGAAAGGTGCCAAATTACGCATCTAAGTAGTGCACCAAATACCCTCTGTGCTCCAGGGATCCTGAAGAGACAAGGCCCCCCTGTAGCTAGGCTGTTCTGTGAGGGCTTCCAGGGGGAGGGGGCGCTGCCATGGGGACATGCTGGGGTGGAGAGACCGAGAGACAAGACTGGAGAGGTAGGTGGGAATTTAAGGGCCTGATAGGGCAACCTAGGTGTTTTGACACACCTGGGCCCCTTCCATGTTTTTGTTGCACCCACAACATGCCTACTCCTCCCTGTACACCCTCATCATTCTATCTCTTTCTGACCCAGGTTCTCTCCTTTCCTACCCCCAGCTTTCCAGAAAGCCCCCGACATAGTCTATACAAAAGAGGGGGAGCCAGCGGAGTTCTCCTTCCCACTTACCTTCTATGATAATGTAAACCTGAAAGGGGAGCTGAGGTGGCAGGAGAAGCGGGCATCTTCCCCTAAGCCCTGCATCACCTTCTCCTTGGATAACAAGAAGGTGTCTGTGCCGGAGGTTCCCCAAGGCTGCAGGTTCAAGATGAAGGACAGCCTCCCGCTCCACTTCAGTCTGCCCAAGGCCTTGCCTCAGGACGCTGGCTCTGGAAACTTCATCCTGTTTTTCAACACAGAGCAGTTGCGTAAGGAAGTGAAACTTGTGGTGATGAGAGGTGAGGAGCTGGGCTGAGAAGGGGAAGGCTGGGGCAGGAGGTGAAAGGGTCTGGCCCAGGTTTCCTGCCAAAGCAGGACAGGCCCCCAAAGGGATGCTTAGGCCCTGGTTGCCTGATGGAGCTGATGAAGGGCCCACTGGTTTGGGGGCTGGTTTTGAATTGAAACTGGAATCCACATGTTCTTCCCTAACATCTATGAGCCAGCCTAAGGGGGCGACTCACTGAGAATCCTCAAAAGGCATGCACTAAGAACCAGGGTTCTAGTTCTGTCTCTGCTCCCACCCTCTATGTCTCTGGCTAAGCCCCCTACCTCTCTGGGTCTCCTTTCTCCTCGTGAGAATAACAAAATCTGCTCTGAGTTTAATAGTGATGATGATGTCAGACTCCACACTGAGTTCTTCACTTCCCTGCTTCTTAATCATCATAACAACTTTACAAGTAATAATGGCTGATACTTGATGCTTCCTACATGCCAGGTCCATTTAAGAACTATATACAAGTATTTGTGCATTTAATAGTTCTCTGGGGCTCAAGTTTCTAAGTAACTTGCTCAGGGACACACAGATAGTAAGCAGTGGGGCTGGGACTCGAATCCAAGACTGCTGGACTTCAAAAGCTATGTTTTCTCTATTAGAACTGCATGAAAACGTGCTCTTAGAGGCTAAAAGAGGAGTGCCCATGTAAAGTGTCATTTTGATTGGTCTACTGAATCCACTTAGAGCTTGGAGGTGCCAGGAACCCAGAGGCCCAGGATCCCAGCCTCAGGCTCTTGTCCCTCTGCAGTGACTCAGTCCCAGAACAATTTGACCTGTGAGGTGCTGGGGCCCAGCTCCCCCAAGCTGACGTTGAGCTTGAAGCTGGAGGACCAGGCTACAAAGGTTTCAAATCAACAGAAGGTGGTGAAGGTGCTGGACCCTGAGACAGGGACATGGCAGTGTCTACTGAAGGACAAGCACGAAGTCCTGCTGGAATCCAAGGTTGAGGGTGAGTGAGTGTGGCCTAAGCCCAAGTCTCTGTCCCCTTAGCTGTAGACCTTCCCCAGGTTGGTGGAGGCCACCCAGAGTCCCAGCCTCCTAAATCCCCTGAGATGGTGGGTTATGTGTATCATGCCTGGACACAGGGGTGATGAGATGAGGTGTAGTGTGGTCCCGGGCTGTAGGTGGCCACCTGTAGTCCTACAAGTTCTCACTTCCCTAAACCCAGGAACGGGGCCCACCTGACCAAGAGCTCCCTCCTGGCTCCTGTCCAAACCCAGCCACAAGCACTCACGCGTGTGTGCATGCACATAGGGCACACACACTGGACCACTACTCCTAGCTCCACAGGGTGCCCCCTATAGTCTCTAAACCTCAAAACTCCTTCCTCAGCCTTTACCCTTCAGCCCTGGTGGTCTATAACAGCCAGTGTACCCTGCCCTGCTCTTCCAGCCCAAGGATCACAACCAACAACAGCTGGGCAGCAAGGCCTTCCTCAGGTCCTCCAGAGTGCTCGGTGCCCTGATGGAGGGCAGAGAGCTGAATACATCTCTTTCTCTCTCTCTCTCTTGCAGTTTTGCCTACTGTGTCCACCTGGGCCTGGCCAAAGCTCCTGGCCATTGTGCTGGGGGGAATTGCCGGCTTCCTGATTTTCACTGGGCTCTGTATCTTCTGCTGTGTCAAATGCCGGCACCGCAGGGTGAGTGAACCTCACTTCTCCTATAGGGCAACAAGGGTATCCTGTCTATGTGACCTGCTTCTGCTCTGTTTCTATCTGCCCGCCACCGAGTTCCCTTAATGCAGGCTGGGCTCTGTCCCAGGTCCCATGGAGGGAGAGGCAGGAAGAAGCAGAGAGTTAACTCTGGGACAGATGGCCTCAGCCACAGTGTCTGCTTCTCCTCTCCTGTTGCTTGAAGCCAATTTCTATTAACATGTCCCACCGCAATTGGCCTCTTTTCCCATTAAAAGAGAGAAGCCACGGTACGACCGGAAAGGCTGAATTTTCTCTGAGGGGTGCCCCGCCCGGTACGACCGAGGCCGATAAGGCTCCCTCTGAGGAGTGTCTCACACGCTGTGACTGGGACCTGTTGAAATGCAAACAGTTAATCTCCTCTTGGGAGGACACAGTAATCAGGTGTCCTA